TAGTATTTGAAGTTCTTGATATACCTTCCTTAACTCCAAGGATGCAAGCTTTCTGATATTTAAAAAATGCACAATAATATTAACTTGCTACTGCTATCAATAGCATTCATTGCTCATATTACAAAATGATGATTTAATAATGTGTTCTTAGGAAATATTATTTCATATACTTGGAAATGTCCTATAAAATTTGACTTAATAGTTACCTCTGAATTAATCCATTCACCTGATGAGAAGAAAATACTATAGGAATTTGGGGCTACATTTTCTCATTACTATCTTCAAACCAGTATTTATGTACCATAAACAGTTTTCTTTTAAAAGTTTCCTTAGTACATACCCAAAACTTGTCTTAAGTGTTATGTAACACAACTTTTATTATCCCCACACAGTACCAAATTCCATTGTTTAACGGTTTTAAGTTATCCGACATTAGTGCATCAGCTTCAGAGGTTTGGGAAGATGCTCAACTTTTCCTGAGGGAAAGGAGGAAAGATGTGATCTAATTTCTCCTCTTACTATGAAAAAGCCATGCATCTCTCTCTCTCTCTCTCTCTCTCTCTCAAATGTCAGAGTTGAGCTTCAGGAAATGGACCATGCCCCCCCTTCTCTCTCTCTCTCTCTCTCTCTCTCTCTCTCTCTCTCTCTGTGTATGTGTCTGTGTGTCTGTGCATGGTCATGTGGGTGCATGTGTATGTGTGGGCACACATGTATATTTTATGTGCATGGTTGTGGAAACTAGAGGTTGAGCTCAAATGTCACCCCTCAGGAACACCATCCACCTCGCTTTTTGAGGTAGGGTCTCTCAGTGGCCTAGGGCTCGCCAGTTAGGCTAGACTGGCTGGCCAGCGAGTGTCAGGTCTGTTTCCCCAGTGCTGGGATTACAAGTGTGTACCACCATGCTTAGCTTCTTTACATGGTTCTGGGGACTGCACTGACTTTTCTGACTGCTGTCTCCCAGTCTCATCTTAGTATTTTTTTTTAATATTTTATTTATTATTTTTATTCTATAGGTATGAGTGTATTCCCTGCGTGTAGGTAAGTGCACCCGTGTCGTGCAATGCCCTTGGAGGACAGAAGAGGCTGTCAGATCCCTTGGAACTGGAGTTACAGGTAGTTGTTAGCTGCCATGTGGGTGCTGGGATTCAAACCCAGGTCTTCTGCAAGCACAGCCAGTGTTCTTAACTGTTGAGGGATCTCTCCAGCCCCGTCTTAGTATTTTAAATGAGATGAAAATTCAGCCCTGCACACAAGCTATGCTCTGCCCCAGGAATGGTTTCCTTCTGGGTCATGGGCGACACCCGTCCTACCTTCTCGGTGGTTGGCCACCACCAGGAAGTGCTCGCCATCCACCACGAAGGCCTCCCAGTCACGGGCGCTGTGGGTGGCGATCCTCTGGTACAGGGTGAACTTCAACTTTCTGGGGTTCCACTTGTAAATGACAGAGAACTCCTGACCCCTTTCATTCGGTCCAAAGTTAGCCACAGCCAGGAAGATCTGGAAGGAAGGCACTCATCTAGTTCTGTCATCTAGTTTTGATCAGCACTGCGGTCCCGGCGGTGCAGGGTTCGGATCCTCAGCACCTCTCCCCACATCCTTGGGGAAGACTGCAGGGACCCACACGGAAGTGCCAGGTGACCCACCTTGCAAAGCTGTGCAGACAGGATCATGGGTTTTAGTTCGTATGTGGTGTGCATGCAGGCGCATAGGCAAATAAAAGTGCATTTTTTAGGGACAAAATGTTTGCTCCACTTGTTTTTCTGTTTCTAATATTTCTTAGAAACAAAAGTACTTTTTTTTAACCATGAAGAAAACAAAAAACTTTAAAATGTCATCAGGAAAAAGCCAGTAGTTACACTGCCACAGCCCTGGACCTGGACCTGGACACAGTGTGTCCATGGTGGGAGGACACAGGCTTTGTCCACTTCATCCCTAGTAGCCAAGGGTGACCTTGAACTTCCGATCCTCCTGCCTTCACTTCCTCAGTGCTACGATGACAGGCGTATGCCATTACGACAAGTTTACATGATGCTGAGGCTTGAACCCAAGGATTTAAAAAAATACTTTATTATTTTTATTTAATGTGTATGAGTATATTGCCTGCATGTATGCAAGTGCACCCACGTCATGCAATGCCAGTGGAGGTCAGAAGAGGGCATCAGATCCCTTGGAACTAGAGTTATGGATGACTTAGCCAACATGCAGGTGCTGGGAATTGAATCTGGGTCCTCTGCAAGGGCAGTCAGTGGTCTTAACTGAGCCATTTCTCCAGTGCAAACCCAGAGATTTTTATGTTAGGCAAGCAATCTACCAACCAAGCCACATCCCCAGCTCTGAGCTCAATGATTTGGTACTGATGGGCTGGCACAGAGCTGGCTTTGCTGGCTTGTGGGAAGCTGAGCAGACTCTGCAAGGGACACTTCTGCAGCCTAAAGCCTGTGACTTTGAAGCTTTCTCCCTCTGAGCAAGGGCTTGGAACGCTGAGAGATGCTTTGACCCGCGGTGCATGCAGGAGCCCAAGCCTGTGGAGCCCGTGGTGGCTCCCATCAGTGAGGAAGGAGAAGTCAGTGCAGACAGACTTGCCTTTTTCCCAATGGTGAAATGTCGCCAGGACTGAGCCTGGTGTGTGGCGATGTTCTGATAGGGGACAAACTTCCCGTCTGTCCATTTGTAGATGGCTGACCTAGCCTTCCGGTTGGCTGTGGCTGCAAAGAGCCCCACGCCGGGGATGGCGAACACCTCGATCCCCAGTGTCTCTGAGTTGGTGTGCAGTCTCTGGTGCTCCTCCACGTAGTCCAGCTTAGCCTTGGCTTGGGATGGGAGGATGGTGACCTGGTCAGTGTGCTCAGGAATAGAGCTGGGGTGCTTGTTTGGGAGGAACCCCCAGGGCCTGGGATTCATGCATATTTTCCCTGGAGACCCATTTTGTCCTTGTGGTAAAAGCCCATTAAAGGGGAGGCTGCTCCTGTCTGTCAGGGGCTCTGAGGTCTGCACAGATTCAAACAGGATGAAATTTACAAATTGTGTCCTGATCAGAATGTGCTCAAGGCTTTACCAGTAACTTTTGGGTAAGAGGGCAGAGAGGAGTGTCCAGGGCTCATGCGCAGCCCAGGGGATCCAGTTCCCACACCGCACAATGCTGTCTAGAACACGTGTCTGTCCCCACTTACTTCTACAGCTGGAGTGCCCCCTGGGAGGGACTGAGACAAGACATGTCAGTAGTTCTCAGCTGTGCCTGGTGGGAGGGTGAGAACCAGGACAGCCCGGGAGGGGAAGGTTAAGGGAGGCCCCAGTGTCTGTGCTATACCCTCCTCCGGCCACCAGTCATCAGATGTGCTGATTTCCAGGTTGGATGCACGGACTGGCCCCTTCTTCCTGGGCTGTCTCATCCTGAGTAACATGGCTCTGAAGCTGGCTCAGGGGCCGGACATGCCGGCTTTAGGAGGACAGTGTCCTGACTTGCCTGAGGCTGCTTGCCACCTGCTCCAGAGGTGGCCACTGAGGAGGTCTTTTGCCCTCAGAAGAGGCCTTACAGACAGTGGAGTTCCCCAGTCCTCCACGACATCCCTTTCCTAGTGGGGACATGGTGAGTCTTCTGTGTGCTCAGGACATTGTGGGTTGAGAAGGGCTGGGCCTCACCTGCTAACACGGAGACCCACTCACTGCCTGCACATAGGTATAGCCCCCTTCGGGCAGCATCGAACCAGAACTGGGAACCCTCTGCTTTGGTGCATGGCGGCCGGGATCCCAGGGTCACTTTCATGTCAGCGTCTACGGGGAGGACCAAGAGGAAGTATGAAGCCTGTCAGTATTCCCTAGCAGACGACCCTATGTGAGGCCCCAAGCCTGGTGGTCCTGCCTTTGCCTTTGAAGGGAGCCCTGACAGCACAGGCCACTGGAGATGGGATGGGTGACCCTAGAGCCCCAGCCCTGATGCACCCTGTATGGCTGGCTGGCCTGGCCCACCGTCTACTCAGAGAGCATGTCTCTCTGTCCCTTTGCCCGCTGCCCTGTGGACATTCTCTGTTCTGCCCTTGGGCCTGTCCCTATAACGGTAGGAGCTAAGCCACAGTCAGTGCGCTTTAGTGTATGGTTTGATCCACCACTTCTAATAACACCGGCCTCGTGACTGGGGACAGCTGTGTGGTAGCTCTGTCAGCCCTGGTCAGCCATGTGACACAGCAAAACCTAAGTGTTCTGCACAGTCAGGTGGGGACTCCCCTCATTTGTAACATGAGACCCACAAGCTCGGGGGGCCTGGCTGTTCCTGACCTCACCCTTCCACAGAGCAGGGGTGTGTGTGTGTGGTAGCGGGGAGGGGCTCTCAGGTCCCCCCTACCAGGGAGTACGAGTTTAATAAATGGCTCAGCACCTCAACTCAACATTAGGACATCGTAAATATAACCCAGAGAAAGCAGGTCCAAGAGATTCTGTGGGCTGGGGGGAGGAGGGGGAGCAGAGCTGGGGCCTGACTTGGACTGGGATGAGTTTAGGATAAGCTGGAGGGAAGGAGTGCAAGACATAGGCAAATTCTGGTCAGGTGGTCCAGAGGAGGGAGCTTTCTTGACATGAGCCATGTCTGCCATCTGCCCAGGGAGCCAGGAAGTATGCAAGGTCTGGTGGGACCTGACTAGGTAAGAGATGAGTGATGCTCGTCTTTCTGATGGCCCCAGTGTCCACTTGGCCAGTGTGAGAACTGCCCACCTACCACTGAGAAGGAGCCCTGTGCACTCAGATGAGTCTGGAGTGGGAACCAGGGCCCCGCCTACTAACCATAGGGATATTTCAGCACCTCGTTATCATCCGGCTTTTCTGTGAGTCTCTGCAGCATGCGGGGTATGGACAGTTCAGCCAGCTGGGCATTCCTGCTGGGACACAGTCTTGGGGTGGCATCTGAGCCAGGCAGCAGGACCAGCTGCCTCATCAGACCCTGCAGAGAGAGAGAGGGAGAGAGAGAGAGAGAGAGAGTGAGAGAGAGAGAGAGAGATCAGAGAGAGATCATTGAGACCTACAGCCATGTGGGGGGGGGCTTGGCCTATACTGCTGCAGGGGTCTAACCTCAGAGTGAGGGAGAGTCTGCATGCAGGTTATTGGAGAGGTCACTGGGAGCAACAGCAGATAACTTACTGCTCTCTATGAGGAAGAAATTGTCTACATGGACTGAGAATGACCAGGCCACATTCCCCGTCCATCTGATCAGCCACTCTTCTACCCATCCATCTACCCATTGATTCATCGATCCACCTACCCATCAATCTATCCACCCACATATTCATTCACCCACTCACATTCATCCACCCACCTACCCACACATCCATCCAGTCCATCTTACCCACATATCCATCCATCTATCCGCATACACATTAATCTGCATACCCACCCACTTATCTATATATCTATACATCCACACACACCCATACACATACACCCATACACACCCATATACCCACCCACACATCCCACCTGACTTGTGAGCAGAGACCCAAAGGCCTCAGGAAGAGTGAGCTAGAAAGAGGGAACGGCTGGTGGGATGGCCCTGTGGTAGACCCCTTGGCACCTTTGCGCATCTAGTTCTCATTTAACACAGATGACACAGCTAAGGCATGGCTACCCCAGGCTCTCCCTACAGTCCTGGGCGGGGTGCTGTGGGCGGTACACTCACCGTGAACAAGCCTTTGGTTCTCTTCCGGCTTCCGACAAAGAACCGGGCTCCTCTCACTGACAGGGTGGCTGGGAAGGGCACGTCAGCCATTCTGAAACAGGAGTGGACAGAGCTACTGCACAGGGGAGCAGGGTGCAGCCTGCTCACAGAGGGAGGGATGGGCTCTGCATGAGAAGTGCCTGAGCATTCTATGGCAGCCATGACCATGGACCCCATGGTAGTTAGAGGCTCAGGGCTTTGGAGCAGCGGCCCCCTGTGGAGGACCCCTTGACTTCTGCGGCTCCAGTGGCTCCAGATTCCTTGGGTGTAGATGCATCTTACCATCCCCTTCCTCCCACCCTCTTGCATTTTAGCATGTGCACTGCCATCTTCCTGCCTCTGTGGCCTCTGCTGCCCCATCAGGAGCCGTCCCACTTGACTGACTTCATCTGGACATAATTTAAGACCCAGCTGGCAAGTAAGGGTACAGTCACAGGCCCCAGGTGGAGGTAAGTTAGGGGCACTTCACCACAAGACAGGGTCTCCTGCAGGGGCACATGGTGAGGAGACACCTGGGGCGTTTTGCCTACCTCCTGGTGAACCTCCTGGGGGCTTCCCCCTGCATTGTGGCTCCAGCCCACATAGCCCCAGACCAACTATCACACAGTTGGGACAGTGGCTACAAGCCAGAGGGAGGCACCTTACTAGACATACAAGAGACATTGGGAGGGGTATGTGACATACCAGTGGATGCTGAACTCAGGGGCAGCAAGAGGCAGCATGTGGCTGGAGCCTCTGCAGGGGAGCCTTGTGCTGCCACACTCTGCTTCCTCTAGGTCCTGGCCAGGGGTACCAGGCAGACGGCCCTCCGCATGCAGTTCACCCCCCACTCTGTGCCAGGCATCCTGGCTCCTGGGCCCAACCTGCATCTGTGGTGGTGCTGGCTGCAGGACCAGGAAGCCAAGGGCCTCAGATTTTATTGGCACAGTTGCTCCAAGGAGGGTAGTTCTGACCCCTGTTTGAACCTTCTTCAGAGCTGTGTCCCATGACCCCTGGACCACCTGCCTCCCACAAGGCCAGGTCAGGGACCTGCCCCAGGGGCCAGCACTTAAGGTGTGCTACAGGCCTGCTCCAGATAAAGGACCTGGCCTGGCCCTGGTTAGACAGGGGCAAAAGGGCAGGGAAGTCTTGCCTAGGACCCACACGGGAACCCACGGTGCCAGGAGCAGCCAGCTGCCTCTGGAATGGGATGCTCAGACACCATACAGGGCATGGTCAACCCCTGGGACCCACACCCTGGTACCTACATGTCCACTGGGAGGCCGCAGTCTGTAGTGAGGGAAAAGGATCCTTGGGATACGGCCAAGATCAACGTGTGCCACTGGCTGTCCACGAGGCTGGGGCTTCGGAAGGACACACGGGTCTGCCAGGCACCAGCCAGGTCCTCGCTGAGGAACAGGAAGTGCAGCTGGGTGGGCGAGACCCTCAGGCCAAGCAGCAGCGTGTCCCTCTCCTCGGCCACCAGGGAGAGCAGGTATTCGTTCTTCTGTAGAGAGCAGGGCCAGAGCTGGGGCGGAGCTGGCAGGGACGGTGGGCGGGGCCAGGGAGCATGGGCGGGGCCAATGAGATGAGGCAGGTGGGAGGGGCGGGGCTAAGAGCAGAGCTGGACCAGGTAGGGGGTGGGGATAACGGCGCAGGGGTGGCACTGATGAGAGGAGGAGAATGGGGCCATTGGGAGAGGGGTGGGGCTAATGGGAGGGGGTGTGATTGACAGGAGTAGATGGGGCTACTGATTAAGGGAGTGGGCGGAGGATAGGAAGGGACAGAGCAAATGGAGAGGGTAGAGCGGATGACAGAGAAGACTGGAGATGGGGAGAGGAAGGTGAGGCTGTGTGGGGCAGAGGCAGGAGCAGAACTGACAGGCCAGGGGGGCTGAGCAGGTGAGGGAGAGGGCTGACAGGAGAAGAGGGTCTGGAGGGGTGGAACTAATAGGATGGGGAGGGTCCAGTAGGAGGGGGTGGGGCTGATCGGAGGGCTGAGGTTCCAGTGGGGGCAGGGCTACCAGGATGGGGAGGGTCCAATGAGAGGGGGTGGTGATGGGAGGGGTTGGGCTGACGGAGGTGGGGGTGGGGGGGCAGTGGGGGGAGGGGTTCCAGTGGGGGAAGGGCTAATGGGATGGGAGGAGGCAGGGGAGGAAGTGGGTGTGGTAAGAGGGAGCTGGGCTGCCCAGTCTTCCAGTCCAGTGCTGGGGCTTATAGGCTGAACCCAAAGGCACCCTGGCAAACACTGAGATGCCAAGTACCAAGCACAGAATAGCAAGACACCCCTGGTGTCTGAGCCCCGCAGTGGGACATCAGACAGCTAGTGCCCCCCTTGTGCCGAACAACACTGTGGGGCCTCTGAACACTGAACACCTACCCGTCCGGGTGGGTACTGGGAAGCCTGCATCCACCCTAACAGACAGCCAGCCTCAAGCAGCCTGAGCTTGGACATAGCAAATGCTTTCAGCCTTCAGGAAGTCGTCTTGACCCTCTCTATCCACGGAGCCTGGAGGCCAGAGGCCAGGGCTGCCCTGCTCTCTCTTAGATGAGGTCCCCCGAGGCTCAGATACACCAAGACACAGAGAACAGGGATGCCAGGGGCTGTGGAGGTGAAGGAGGGGTCTCTACTTTAAGGTGTTCAGTTTAGTTAAATAGAACGTGACTGAACTCACATTCATGAGCCGCACACACAAACAGTGAAGATGGAGGATTCTACATTGTGTTTTATTACAGTCAACAAAAGGCGAGCAGAGGGCCTGCTAGGGCTGTGGCCGCAAAACCCGAGCATCCTTTCTAGTAACACCTCAGCGGCTGTTCTCAGGCTGGCAGAGGTCGGTGGAGAGGGAAAGTTTGCCAGTGTCCACAGCGGCTGAGTGCAGGTGGCCAAACGTTGTGCAGACTTGCTGTTTTCTCTAGTGAGGCTCTGCGGACCCAGGCCTGTGAGCCAGTCAGTTACTGTCCTAGGAGGGGAGCGTCAGTGTGCTCTTCAGAGTCTGGCCTTCTTCCGCCTCTGAAGTCTTCCTTAGCCACAGCGAAGGTCACTTGCCTTGGCTGTTAGGGGAGCAGAGGGGACCATGCTGGTCCTGTGGTTCCCAGTGCAGTACAAAGACAGCAAGTCTGCCTCCTGAGAGTTCTAGGAAATGCTGTGAAGCTTGGAAGCTGGCAGGTGACAGAGGGCAAAGCCCTCCCATGTATGGCCAGGGTTTCAGATGGCCACTGCAGGCTGGAAGGGAGCTTGGGATGGAGAGGGGACCATAGGAAAGAGCCCCCACCATGGCAGGTTCCTACTGGGCTTAGAGCATCAAGGGCTCAACCTGTCCAGGGACCCTGAACCCCGCTGGCCCCCTCCAGGGGAGGTGGCCTCTGTCCCTTGCCAATTGCTGGACTGAATTCCTCCATCCTAGAAACAGTAATGGCTAATTTCACTTAAACAACATGAGAGGTGATCCCAGGTATAGCTTACTGGTGCCTTGAGCTCCTAAGAGGCTGATGTTGGGGACAAGTGACAGAGCGTAAGGGTGCAGAGGGGCAGTGACCTAGACTCAGGCAGGGCTCCTGGGAGGCAGGAGAGCTTAGGTCAGCACAGGGGACCTTTGGGGACCCCATCCTGGGGGACAGTCTATCTCAGATCAGGAGCAGACAGGATCTGAGATGGGCCACGGGGAAGGACTCACTAGCTCCAGGGCACAGGCCCATCAACAACTGGACTTCTGTCCGGAGGAGAGGCCTCAGCAGGCCTGGCTGGAGCAGGCTGGGCGGCAGAGCAGGGACACAGAGGAGGACCCGCGGCAGCAGCTGGGCTGGCAGGAGGAGGCACAGCAGGAGGAGGCGGGCACGCAGCAGGCGGGTCTGCACACGGGGCGGCAGAGCAGGGACACGCTGGAGCAGGGTCTGCAGTAGACGGGCTTGCAGCAGAGGGGCACACAGCAGGACGACTGGGAGCTTGAGGGCTGGCAGCTAGACTGCTGGCCGCAGGGGGATCCAGAGCAGAGGGGCTCACAGCAGACAGGTTCACAGCAGACTGGTGTGCAGCAGACGGGCTTGCAGCAGACGGGCTTGCAGCAGAGGGGCACACAGCAGGACGACTGGGAGCTTGAGGGCTGGCAGCTAGACTGCTGGCCGCAGGGGGATCCAGAGCAGAGGGGCTCACAGCAGACAGGTTCACAGCAGACTGGTGTGCAGCAGACGGGCTTGCAGCAGACGGGCTTGCAGCAGAGGGGCTTGCAGCAGAGGGTCACACAGCAGGGGGAGGAGCTGCCGCAGGGGGAGGAGCTGCAGCCCGAGGTCTGGCAGCTGGACTGTTGGCCGCAGGATGAGGAAGACCCACAGCAGACGAGCTCACAGCAGACAGGTTTACAGCAGACTGGTGTGCAGCAGACAGGCTTGCAGCAGAGGGGCACACAGCAGGACTGTTGGCAGGGGGAGGAGCTGCAGCTGGACTGTTGACAGCATGGTGTGCAGGAGCTGGGGCAGGTGGATTGGCAGCAGGGGCTGGACACACAGCTCACTGGGGTGCAGATGAGGGTCAGGCAGGGGGCTGGGGCACAGCAGCTGGACTGGCAGCCGCTGGGGGAACAGCAGGGGACACAGCAGCTGGGGTCACAGCAGGGCTCACAGTAGCTCTCTGGACAGTCTTCCACCTGCCAAGAGGACTCAGTGCGGGCATCGGAGCAGACGGACATGGTAGAGGTGGCCATGGCAGGTTGGGCTGGTGTTGGGAGTGTGAGTGAGTGAGTGTGTGTGCGAGGCTCTGGTCTGTCTACTTTTATACCAGGCCTTCATGTGTTTTCAGCCAGAAGCCTCTAGATCCTTCCTTCCTCGTGGGTGTTTTGAGCTGCGTCCTGGAAGCCCTCGTAAATCTGGTTTATTTACACAAGTGTTCCTCCTCCTGAGCCTTGCATGGTGCTGGCTGGGGCAAGAGGATGCCTGTGGTGTCGTCGTCTGGGTGAAGCTTTGCTGCACTGGGCTGGATCTTGTACACACTGCGGGTGCCCTTCCATCCAGGCCGATCTACCAGGCAATCAGCAGCCAGGGCAGGTAGGGATGTGCAGTCTGTTGTCTGTGCATGTGCCTGGCAGAGAAGTGACCCCAAAACACGTGGGGAGACAGACCTGAGCTTCTCAAGGGATGAGACAGTAAGGAAACCCAGAGGGAGATAAATTCTTCTAAAAGACATGTTTTCCGGAATGGGAGCGGCCAAGTGAGCCGTGGAGAAACCCCCAGAGTGCTGAGGATTCAGAAACTTAAGTGTGTGGTGTGGACTTGCTGAATGAAAGTGCCATGTTCCTCTAACAACTGGGCATCTGCACCCTGCTTGCATAGTAACACTCTAGAAGCTTCCAGAGAGCCCAGGGGCCAGCCTTGGCTTAGCAGGGATGGATGCACAAAGACAGTTACTGGGCTTACAGTTTACTGATCACCAGGGAGGGAAGAGGATCCCTGGGGGCCGAGAGGCTCTGAGCGAGCCCTTCCCTCTTCAGAGTGAGAGGAAGGAGAGATAAAACAACAGATAGTCAAGGTCATCAGGAACCAGATGAAGGTTCCTCATCTGCAAGAGGCAAACACTGCTGCCTACCTTGACTGACAGAGCCATCGGCCACGGGGGACGTGACTCCTCTAGCCTCCTCATGCTCCATTTAATTCATTCTTTGTGGATTATGATTCTCTGACCTCAAGATTCACCTAACTGTTGCGTATAGTAAGAGTTTATCTTTTCATGGCCCCATAATATTTCACTGTGTGGATTTACCACAGTATCCAGGCAGTGACTCGTGAATATTTTGGTTGGCTCCTGTTTACGATGCTGACTGTGAGCAGAGCTGGCGTCATTGTTGTGTTTGGTGTTTTGCATGTCCATTAGTTTTCCTTTCCCTCCAGAGAATATTCTCTCTGGCCTGCTGGGTCACATGGTGGGTGAGCATCTCCAGGCTGCAGTGTCCCAGGGCAGCGGCCATCTGTCCACTGTGGTGTGGCTGGGCAGCCTTGCCAGGCTCCCGGCGGCTCTTTGCTTTCCTGGCAACCAGTGGCACCGAGCATCTCCTCACTTTATCTTCTGCCCCGGCAACTTTCCTAGTAAGATATTTCTTCCATTTTAAGTTTTTTTTGTTTGTTTTGTTTTTTTTTTGAGACAAGATATCATATAGCCCAGGCTGGCCTGGAACCCACTATTTAGCTGAGGATGACTTAATAAACAGGAGAAAGCTAGGGGCTGGAGAGATGGCTTAGTGGTTAAGAGCACTGCCGCCAGGCTCCCGGCGGCTCTTTGCTTTCCTGGCAACCAGTGGCACTGAGCATCTCCTCACTTTATCTTCTGCCCTGGCAACTTTCCTAGTAAGATGTTTCTTCCATTTTAAGTTTTTTTTGTTTTGTTTTGTTTTTTTTTTGAGACAAGATATCATATAGCCCAGGCTGGCCTGGAACCCACTATTTAGCTGAGGATGACTTAATAAACAGGAGAAAGCTAGGGGCTGGAGAGATGGCTTAGTGGTTAAGAGCACTGCCTGTTCTTGCAGAGGACCCAGGTTGGAATCCCAGCACCCACATGGTGGCTAAAAACCGTCTGTAACTCCAAATCCAGGAGATCTGACCTCCTCTTCTGACCTCCACAGGTACACTCAAATATATGCAGTCAGTACACTCATACATATAAAATTTTGCATTCAGGAGGCAGAGGCAGGCAGATCTCTGTGAGGGGACAAGGTCAGTCTGGTCTACATGACGAGTTCCAGGCCAGCTGGGGCTACAGAGAGACCCTGTCTCAAAAAGCCCCCCAAAATTAAATAAAAAGTAAATAAACAGGAGAAAGCGAGCTGAGCCCAGTATTTGTCTCTGCTTCCTGACGGTAGGTAGACACAATGACCAGTGGCCTCACACTTCGGCCGCCGTGATGGACTGCACCCTCAAACCAGAGCCAAAACAAACCCTTCCTTCCTGAAGCTGCTTCGGTGTTTAGTCACGACGAGATCACGACTGACAGAAGGGACCCAGGGGAGCACCTGCCCAGGCCTGTGACAAAGGCTGCATGTACCACATGCAAAGAGCTCTTAAAACCGATAATGAAACAAACAACCCAACTTAGAAATGGGAAAGAAAGCTGGCAGACCCCTCACCAAAGGAGACACGGCAAAGACGTCCACAGCTCGCAGGCTTAGAACACTAAATAACCGCCAGGGTGGTACATGCCTGCAATCCCACCAAGGCAGGGGGATCGCCAGTTTGGGGCCAACCTGTGCTACATAGAAAAATCCTGGAGAGAGGGACTGGAAAGATGGTGCTGCAGGTAAGAGCACTGGCTGCTCTTGCAGAGGAACCGGGTTTGGTACCCAGCACCCACATGGCAGCTAACAACTGTCTGTAACTCTGGTTCCAGGGGATCCGATGCCCTCTTCTGGCCTCTGGGTACTGCATGACACGAGTGCACCTACCTACACAAAGGCAATACGCTCATACACAAAAAGTAAAAATATTTTTTTTTAGAAAAGAAAAATCCTGGAGAGAGGGGGAGGGGACTGTATTCCTATTAGAATGGCCAAAATTCTAAATGCTGACAACAGATCTTGTAGAGGGTGGTGGGGAGCAACAGGAACCCTCCTTGTCTGATGCTGAGAATATAAAGTGTGACACCAGGAAGGGTTTGGTCAAATATGCACACCCCTAACTACCCAGCAACCACCTTCCTTGCTATTTATTAAAAAGAGCCAGAGGGATATGGAGGGATGTGGAGGGATGTGGAGGGGTGTGGAGGGATGTGGAGGGGTGTGGAGGGGTGTGGAGGGGTGTGGAGGGATGTGGAGGGGTGTGGAGGGGTGTGGAGGGGTGTGGAGAGACCTTCCATGCAGTTGTGGCAAAACCCAGGTTGCAAAGGGTGGGTGAGGGGTGACAACACATACTTCAGTGACCCAGGTCTTGAAGACCGAGCATAGGGGATGCCACAGCATCCCTAGAGGCTCTTGGGACACTAAAGTATTGTGTGACATGGTGGTGCTAGGGACCTGCATGTCACCCACTTGTCACAATCTTGTCACAATCTTCAGAATGCATGCTGCTAAGAACGAAGTTGCCAAGCCCCGCTGGAGGCTGATGGTGCAGGTCTGGGGGACTGTGGCCTCTCATCTGGGGGACTGTGCCAGCTTACATGACACTCACTCACTGGGTGCTCTGTGCTGGAGGCTGCTGTGAGCCTGAGCTTGCTCTGTGAGGTCAGTCTGTTAAAGTGGGTGAGGTGCCAGGGCACGGCTCTTCCTGAGTGGCTGTCTTCCACAGCGGGCACTCGTCCATTTGTCCTGTTCAGGTGGAGGACCAGGAGCAAACCCTCTCTTTGGCTCCCGGTGTTGGGGTCTTGCCTCTTCACGATCATTCTCCTGCTATGTTAGATGTTAGATTTCATCTTTTCAGGGAACAAATTCTGGTTTCCAGACTGTCCGATCAGTATCTTGATTTCCATGGAGCCAGCTCTGCTCTGGTCTTTGTTCCTTCATGCCTCTGGTCAGCTCTGGGCTTCAGAGAGCACCAGTGTCCACAGGGACATCTTGCCTTGTGGTGTCGCTGTATTAGGGTTGTTGCCCATGGGCACCCCCGGGACCTTCCCTGTTGTCTCCTGCTCACCCCCCACCTCTGCCCACCTGCCTCTGCCCCTCCACCTCTGTCCCCACCTCTGTCCTCTGTCCCCACCTCTGTCCTCACCTCTGTCCCCACCTCTGTCCCCACCTCTGTCCCTCCCTTTTCCTCCTCTCTGGGTCCCACTGTGCTCCATAGCTCCAGGTGGCTCCCTTCTTCCTGTTCACTATGGATACCGCCTGAGCCAGGCCCTCAGGCCCCTGACTACCGCAGATCTCTGGTGGCTGTGAGTTCCCACCCATGCCCCCTGGCACCAACGCCCTCTGGCACCAACGCCCCCTGGCACCAACACCCCCTGGCACCAACGCCCACTGCGCATGCTCTTCCCTCCTGTCCCACTCTGGGTTTTCTTGGTTTAAAGTTCTTCCTATCTTTGTGTAAACATCTTTTTCTAACTTCTTGGCTGTGTGGGAAAGGTGAGGATACCAGGTTCCCACCAACTGACCAATGGTCTGCTGGGCTACATCTCCTTCCCTCTTTGGTGCTTACTAAACAGATCTTCACCCTCCACCCTGGCCTTGAGTGCTGGACGCTGTGTTTCTGAGAATGTTCAAGCTCTGTTCTGGGCTGGCCAGGTGACAGCAGGCTGGTCAATTCCGTCCCACCTAGGTGTTCTGATAAGCAGGTCAGGCTGGTGGTCACTGAGCTAACTCCACTGCCCCCTTCAGAGGAACGCCCCTCAGAGCACCACTCCCAGTGATGACGACAGGCTTCCTTCTAGTAGGTGCCCCAGACACAAGTCCAACTGTCCATCCACTGGGTATCCCCTGCCCAGAAGAGCCTCTCTTATCCAGCTATGCCTGTGCCACCACTCCGATGGTGGGGACCCTCTGTGAATGCCAAACACCCTCTGCATACACGGGGACCCTCTGCAGACACGGGGACCCTCTGCAGACACAGGGACCCTCTGTAGACACGGGGACCCTCTGTAGACATGGGGACCCTCTGCAGACATGAGGACCATCTACTCTTTTTAAAAAAGATTTATTTTATGTGTAAGAGTGTTTTGGCTGCATGTATGTAAGTACACTCATGTCGTTCAGTGCCAGTGGAGGCCAGAAGAGGGTGTTGGATCCCCTGGAACAGGAGTTACAGATGGTTGTTAGCTGCCATGTGGGTGTTCAGAACCAAACCCATGTCCCATGCAAGAGCAGCAGCCCTCTGAACCGTGAACCATCTCTCCGGCCCCACCCATCTACTCTAGGGCAGCAGCTCATGAGCTGCTCTGTTCTGGGCACGTCCCTGACTCCACTGGTCACACCAAGGGAGGGGGCCACTGTCCCTCGTGATTGCAGGGCTAAGTCCTTTCCTCCTAGAAACAGTCATAGCTGGCAAAGACCAGTGTCCTTAGACCATGTTTTGCAAAGCATGAGACAAGATTCAGGAAGTTAAAGCATTTATTGATACTATGAGCTCCGGGTAGGCTGATGCTGAGGGCAAGTGACAGAGCAGAGGGGCAGGGAGTAGGATCAGGGACCCAGGTTGCAGATGGGGCTCCTTAGAGGCAGGAAGGAGAGGCGAGGTCAGCACAGGGGACACATGTGGGCCCTGTCCTGGGGCACAGTCTGTCTCAGGTCATGAGCAGACTGAGGAGCTGAGAGGGGCCAGGTTGGGGGGACCTGGGTTTCTATTTCTGGGGCACAGGCCCATCAGCAGCTGGACTTCTGTCTGGAGGAGAGGCCTCAGCAGGCCTGGCTGGAGCAGGCCGGGCGGCAGAGCAGGGACACGGAGGAGGACCCACGGCAGCAGCTAGGCTGGCAGGAGGAGGCACAGCAGGAGGAGGCGGGCACGCAGCAGGCAGGTCTGCACACGGGGCGGCAGAGCAGGGACACGCTGGAGCAGGGTCTGCAGCAGACGGGCTTGCAGCAGAGGGGCACACAGCAGGACGACTGGGAGCTTGAGGGCTGGCAGCTAGACTGCTGGCCGCAGGGGGATCCAGAGCAGACGGGAGCACAGCAGACAGGTTTACAGCAGACTGGTGTGCAGCAGACAGGCTTGCAGCAGAGGGGCACACAGCAGGACTGCTGGCAGGGGGAGGAGCTGCAGCTGGACTGTTGACAGCATGGTGTGCAGGAGCTGGGGCAGGTGGATTGGCAGCAGGGGCTGGACACACAGCTCACTGGGGTGCAGACAAGGGTCAGGCAGGGGGCCGGGGCACAGCAGCTGGACTGGCAGCCACTGGGGGCACAGCAGGGCTCACAGTAGCTCTCTGGACAGTCGTCCACCTGCCAGGAGGACTCAGTGTGGGCGTCGGAGTAGACAGACATGGTGGAGGTGGCCATGGCAGGTTGGGCTGGAGGAGAGTTGACTGCCTGAGTGAGTGTGAGTGTGTGTGAGGTGCCTGGCCATTGGCTTTTATCCCCCTGTGCTGTTGTCTGGCTCAGCCTCCCTTCCTTGTTTGTGTCCTCATGGCCATCATTAGTGTGTGTGTTTGTTTGTCTGGGATGTTGTGGGGTTCACCGTGTCCTGCCAGCGTGTGGTCCTGGAAGCAGCAGCCCCAGGTGGGGCTCTGTGAGCAGTGAGGTTGGGGTGTCGTGTGAGGGGACTTGTCCCAGCCATCATAGGGCTACAGGGACGTCTCTGGACATGGCTGGCTGCCAGGACCCTAGCTCCTTCTGCAGGGTGCTGGGAGCCATCCATGCCTGTGATCCCGTCCCTTTCACAATGCCCCAGCCATGGATGAGACAGTTGTTACCTCCTGCTGCCCTGAGGCCAGAGGTGTGTGGTGATCCATCCAGGGTGGGTGTGAGGGACCATGACTAACTGTGACCCCTGCCCCGAACTCTCCAGTGTCCTTCCCTATGACACTGTCCACCCTGCTGTCCTTGTGCCTAGGGCTGCAGGTCCCTCCCCACTCAGGCAGGCTGGCAGTTCCTGGCTGGGGTTCTGAGTTCTGAGCTGTGAGGAGAGCCTTGTGGGCTGGAGCGTGTGTGCCCAGCCCGCCCCCTTCCCCTTCTCTAGTCCTCTGCCCTATGTCTCCCTTCCAGCCCTCCCCCGGGTCAGTCTCACACCTCCATGTGTGCTGTTGATTTTCACATATTTTATAGAAAATGTCTCGCTGCCTATTTCCTTATTAGACACCTGTCTCAGCTCTTAAGTAGAACCTTCTGAACTGTCTAAAGCTGGCAGAATTGAAGGCTACACTTTGATCTTGGAGTAGTGCTAGTATCTAGGTCAATCTTCTCCACCAGGCTTCCTAAAGTCAGACAGACATTGACCACTTGTGGCCAGCCGCCACACCCTTCCCAACAGGGCCCTTCAGCCTCATGCCCAGTGCCTGAAGAGGGGTCCCTCCTGCCCTCCCTGTGTCTCCTCCATGTGGCAGCCTGGCTGGCGGCAAGAGCAGATGCAGAAGCTGCAGACCCATCCCTGGAAAAGCCCATGTCTCCAGAGAGTGGGTATAGCCCACATGGAGGCTGGGTCCTCCACAGGCTGTCCTTGAGGCCCACTCATGTTTCTGAGTGGGGCAGGGGCAGGGTGGATGGAGGATTGTGTGCTGCTCTGTTCTGGGTAGGGATTTCGCTCCCCATTGAAGGCTGGCACTTTGTGGGTGATTTGAAAATAGATAGCCTTCATCCCTGTCCACCCCCGCTCCTTCCACATTTCATCTTGAATCTCCGAAAGCTTGTCTCATTCACTTTTCAGTCTCCAAAGACCCAGCAGTTGATCCTCAGTAAAAAGTCCCCAGAACATGAATGCTTTTTCCTTTCAGTGAAGACCTGCATTCTGAGAGTAAGCATCGTGACTAGTCTGAGGCCACATGAACTCCTCTGCTGACCTCATTGGACAGTGGGGATGGGCCCTTATCAAACGCATTTGCTAAGCAGATGAGGTGAAGAAGTCAAGGAGTGGCTCCTTGACTTGGCTCAAGGAGTGAATTAAGCATCAGGAGAGCCAGACACAGCTGAGATGTGAGCCACCAAATCCCCATCACAGAAAGCGCAGAACAGAGCCTGCTTACTGCAGAGGCTGGGAGGCCACGTTAGTGGCCTCATGGACCTGGAGAAGAAAGTGACGTGTCCGGGGCCTGCGAGGGGGAGGGGGTCCAGGCAACACCTGGCTTTCAGGAGCAAATACTGAGTGTGTGTGTGTGTGTGTGTGTGTGTGTGTGTGTGTATGTAGGATGCTCCCTGGGGAAAAGCAGAGCAGAAACCAGATGGTCCTGCCTGTAATCAGCTCAGATGAACTCAGTAAATTGCCCACAGACCAGTCATCTGCCCAGAACACAGCCATGAACTGCCCACAGACTGACTGCCCAGGACACAACCACGAGCTGCCCACAGACCAGCTGTCTGCCCAGGACACAGTTGTCTCCTCTGAGCCAGGCAGCCACATCAGAGTCTCAAGGACCTTTACATCTTTTCACAGTGAAGTCTTGCCCTTGGTCAAGCATTGCTAGGCATTCGAAAAGACAAGGCTAGCTGACCAGAGGACCCAAAGAAGAGCAAACAAGAGGCTTCTTGGATATTCAAATGGCCACAGATGGACTTAAGGTAACTGATGAAGCCCGGGGATGTAGCTTGGTGGCACAGCACATGCCTATGTGTGCAGAGTCTTGGGTTTGGTACCCAACACTGCAAAAACAAAAAGGGTAACCATGACAACACTCATGTCTTCAAACCATAGAAAGTTTTTACTTTAAAGGGATGGTGGCACAATTTTCAGAAAAATGGGGGAAGATGGAGATTTTTCAGTGGCAATCTCTACCAGTAAGAGCCAAATCCTGGAAACAGGAAACAGGAAATCTGAAACCCAGACTGTGGAAGAGGAACAGCATATTAGACAAGATTAATGAAGGGAAGGAGGTGAGGGTTACCACAACTGAACACCGGGCTGGGGGGGGCGCTGAAATAGAACTGAGCACTACACCAAGAGATGGGACGGGGAGTGACTTGAATCCTGGGACGAGCAAAGGGGGATGGAGAGTTTGAGGACACAGAGGGCAGAGCTGTAAGCTGATGAAAGACATTAATTTATAGGTTCAAAACAAAAGTCACTTAAAAGTGCATTTTAGGCTGGGTGTGGTGGTGCACGCCTTTAATCCCAGCATTTGGGAAGCAGAGGCAGGCAGATCTCTGTGAGTTCAAGGCCAGTCTGGTCTACATCGTGATTTCTAAGATAACCAGGCAGGGATGTATAGTGAGACCCTGTCTCAAAACAAAACAAAAATAAAGTGCATTTGAAGTGCGTTTACAAGTGTTTAGTGAGGTTGTGCAAAGGAACCACACCTGGGTGCACTGGGGCTGAAATGCAACAGAGAAACATTTAAAAACAGTTGGCAGTGTGGGCAGAGGCATGGCCCCTTCAGAGAAGCCACACAAGACTGACAGACAGCTGCTCAGTGGGAAGGCTGCAGACCAGGCACAGGGAGACCTTTGTCATCCAGAGGAAAAGTGGGGAGTTAGAGAGCTCTACACCTGCACAGAACATCCTCCAAACGCTGACCTCAGCCCTGATCAGCCGTGGAGCACCACAGAGGAAGGTATGAACGGACCACCCTGACTTATCGAATGCCTTACAAGCCTTTCTAGAAGTAAAATACACGGAAACAATTGAGAAAGCTTGAGGGTTAAAGGGTCTCCCTACTCTGCATTGCCTGGCGTGTGGCATACGGTCTGATATATAATACTCATACACAGGAACTCATGCTGTAAGGTCCAGAAGAAGAAAAAACATGTAACCAAGTAGGAAGCAGGTCACTGAACAGTGATGTGACTGAAGCTTAAAGACCACAGAGTGCCACATTCTGAAGAAGTAGCACTCCACGACCATGGGTTGTAAATCCAATGACTGTATCTTTAAAGGAGAAATGGGACAGGGGAGAGGAGGGCTCAGGCACCCAGCAGGGAAGGTCATGTGATCGTGCAGGAGACTGGAGTGAGGACCTGTAGTGAGGGGAGCTGGAGAAGTCACTGAAGGCAAGGACTGTCCCCTAGGACCTGGAGGACGCATGGCTCAGCTGACAGTTACCCACCTCTAGAGCTCTTGTTTAATTGCCCGTTAGGGGTCAATCGCTGCAGCAGCTCTAGGAACTTATCTAAGAGGAAAAGTAGAAAGTGGGGCACTTAAAATCAACACATACAACCTAAGCCACCACAGCAAGGAGATGCAGGACGGAACCAGCTGGTCTCATTGTGTCTACAGTCAAGAAACAGAACAGACAGGAAATGGGGCTGACCTACAAAACTTAAAGGCCTGCCCCCCAGGATCCAGGCAGGATCTGCCTCCCAAAGGCCCACAACCTCCCAAAACAGCACTATTAGCCAAGGATCAAGTGTTCCAACACAGGAGCCTATGGGGACATCTCACACCCAAACCAGAACCAGATCATAATCTTTTCTAAAACGTCTTAGACATAGAGTCATGGGGTTTCATGTGTTGCCACATACTGGATTAAGTGGATGGACCCTTCAAGGGGGCAGAGTTGCAGATGGCAAATAAACGTGGTGATGTGCAAAGCTAAGCCCCATGAACAAACTCTGTGTCCCAGGGCAGCTGGGGTGATGGTGCATCTGACACGGAGACTGGTATAGCTGTTAAAGGCCTTCATCCTGCTTTGTTGCTGGGTGTCGTCACAATGAGACCAGCTGGTTCTGTCCTGCCACCAGGCCTTCTCATGGAGTGGACTGTATTCCCTCAGGCTGTGGGCACAATAAACCCTTCCTCCCTGTCCTAGTTAGTTTTTCTGTTGCTATGATAAACGCCATGACTCAAAGCAACTTGGGGAGGAAGAGGGTCTGTTTTATCTTACAGCTCACAGTCCACCATTGAGGGAAGTCAAGGCAGGAGCTGAAGCAGAGACCACGGAGGAACGCTGCTTACTGGCTTGCTTCCCCTGGCCTGCTCGGCTACCTTTCTTCTACAGCCCAGGCTCACCTGCCCAGGGATGGCACTGCCCACAGAGGGTACCCCCCCTCCATCAATTAGCAATCAAGAAAATGCCCACAGATATGCCCACGGTCCAGTCTGATGGAGGGTTGTTGTTGTTTTGAGACAGGTTCTCACTATGTATCCCTGGCTGGCCTGGAATTCACTACATAGACCAGGCTAGCCTCAAACTCACAGGCATCCACCTGCCTCTGCCTCCTAAGTGCTGGGACTAAAGGCGTGTGCCACCACACCCGGCCTCTGGAGGACATTCTTTAAATGGGGTTCCCTCTTCCAGGTGACTCTTGTTTGTGTCAAGTTGACAAAGACTAACCAGCACCCTTCTTCAGCCGCTTCTTGTCAGGTATTTGGCCACTGTTAGGGTTCAGATCCACAGCAGCCCTGCCCCCTCCAC